AAATAGCTAAACTCATTTCACCATATAAAAAATCACCAACATACAAAAGTATCCCCAACAAATTGGATTATGACATAGAGACATTTGTTTGACTATCCAAAATGAATGGTTTTAAGTGCAAACTAACAGAAACAACTCAAACCATATTATTAGAATTTGACACAAGAAAAGCAAAAAAATGGCCAAATGGGATTTTGTATTGTTAAGAATCGGCATCCCAAACAAACAAACAATGTGGCTCCTATACCTCAATACATTTATATTTACAAAACCAACCACAGACAAACCTTGACTGGTCAAACATAGCAAAAAATAAGCACTAGTTTTCACTATTAACTACTACATAAAGAAGGATGTAGTTTAAAAAAGATAAGTGCTTGAGAAAGAAGAGTTGAATAGTAGAAAAGAAACACAACACACCTTGAGTATTTCAAGCCACTTTCACGTGCTAATACATCTGGTGTAGACTCAGACATCATTTTACTTCTTCCATGCAATCGATCTGACATGGCATAACCACACCAAGCTAAACTTGCTCTCATGAATAATGTTCCCATCTGACAATGATTTCTTAAGTAATGACCTACACCAATATGCCTTCAAAGTAAACACATTTGGAAACAGCAAATACAAATATCCAAAACCCACATATCAGCTTTTCATCATACTTATCATAATCATCCAAAAGATGAGTGGAATACAAGGATGATTACAATGAAATGTTTTGTGTACTATGTCTTTTGAGGTACTTAATTCATAGTATTTGTATTTCACCCTCTTTCAGTTAAGGATTGGTACCATTCATATATAATATGTAAGCATCTGGCTATTTGTAATTAGGCACATGTCTTCCATTCATGAATCTATCCATGGAATACACCAAGCTTCTAATTGTAAATGGACGCTCTTGTCATGTGTAAAGAATTAAAAAGAAGATTGTTATTATTTGTACTAGAAAACTCATTGTTCTCCTCTATATGTATCTCCGCACCCTTGAATATGTTCCTTTGTATGTGGAGTTTTTTTTGCAAAAGTAGGGGTATTTGAGAAAAGCTCGATAAAAATAGGGGTGTTTTCTAATTGTTGGCAGAAATAGGGGGTGCTAGGAGGAAGACCCCACCATTTCCGTCTTTGATTTCCTATATTTACATTATTTCCCCTTATCTATAGTTATAATTATAACCCTTTAAGTTTATTATTATTATTATTATATGTTTTAGTTTTGGAATTTTTATTTTTAACCCTTATTATATATCTTATTATATATTATGTATAAATTAACTTATTGGAAATATATCACTAAACTTTAAGAATTATTTTAAGGGATATATGCAGAAAAACACATCCAATTATACATACACATGCAAAAAAACATTTATATTATCTTTATGTTTAAAAAACCTTTATATTAATACTTACCATTCAAATAAAACCATAGTATTGGTTCATAAGAGAAATTACCGGCTAAAAATGTGATGTTGAGCATATTTTTGTTTTTTAATATGACACTGATGTTAATTGGGATAACAACGATTAGTTAAGGAGGTAAAAATCAACCGTATAGTCCCTACAAAGAACACAATTAAGTAAAAGTAATCGAAACAAATGTAGGATTCGACATATTTTCACATACAATCAAGAAAATATAATAGATATGTATGTTATATCATATTTTTAGCCGATAATTTCTCCTAAAAATTTTCAATTTGGTTTTGGGTTTTATTTGAAACGTAAATAATTATATAAGAGTTTTTTTTAATATTTAAATAATATAAGGGTTTTTCTGCATATATATATATATATATATATATATATATATATATATATATATATATATAATATAAGGGAATATACATTACAGCCCCACCTAAGCTTAGGTACTAAACCTCTTGAAAATACATGTTTTACTATATAAAGATTACGGTTAATGGATTCACGGTTAATACTTCAAGATGTAAATTCAAGATCGACACAATAGGGTTTAGGGTTTAGGGTTTAGGTTTAGGGTTTAGGGTTTAGGTTTAGGGTTTAGATTTAGGGTTTAGGGTTTAGGTTTAGGGTTTAGGGTTTAAATTTAGGGTTTAGGGTTTAAGTTTAGGGTTTAGTAATGTTCACTTGGGTGAAGTAATAAACGATAATTAAGGAAAGAAAACAGAGATGGTAAAACGATAATGAAAGAAAGAAATGTTATGGGGGATGATATATTTACCAAGTGAAGCGAAACCGGACATATTTAGCATGTTAAAACGACATATTTTAGAGGTTTAGTACCTAAGCTTAGGTGGTGTTGTAATGTATATTCCCTATCCCCTATATATATATAACACAATTAGTTATATATATATATATATATATATATATATATATATATATATATAACTAATTGTGTTTTTCTACATATATCCCTTATTTTAAGCATAATATATCATTAACTAGATCTCACAAATACTTTCAAATTGATACCAATATTGTAATTTAACTTGAAATTACAATATGAATTAAATGGTAAATTAGAATACTAATCAAACACTAAATTACAATACGACATAAGGAAACTACATATAAAATTACAATAAAAATTAAACGCTAAATTAGAATACGAACTCAAATTGATACGAATATTAGTATATTGAAAATTCTATATCATTTTTATAACGAATTATACAATTATATTACAAATTTATACAAGTTTATTATGACTTGTCTTTTCAAGAGGAAAATGTTAAAGAGTCTGCAAAAAGTTAATGAAACTTGTCATTATTATGAACAATCCAAAATATTAATTGAAGAAAATTGTCTACAAAAAACAAAAGCAAAAGCCACTGAAATTCAGTTGTCACAATTCACGAAACATGTCACTATTTATGAACAGTACAAAGTATTTCGTTACTTTTTGTGTTATAAATTTGGTTTGTTAAATTCAGTTTAATTAATCATTATTTCAACTATATAGACTTATATCATCATATTTGACTCTCAAGTTCTCTAATTCTTGCTTGCTTGCTTTCTTCATCCAAGGTACGGATCAATATCTAAACAGCTTGCATATATTAATATGAAACATCATATGTAGCAACATAATTTATGTCTTTTGTCTTATGCTTAATTGTGCAGTTAAATTTTGATATATTTATCATTATGAATCTAGATGGCCTACCTACAAGTACTAGTTTTGTAAATCTTCTTTGTAATTTTGAGACCAACCCCTCGGATGCATCATTTCCTTTGCCCAATGATAATACATTTGAGGTAGATAATGACTTAGGATTTGATGATCCTAACTCACAGTATAGTGAAGATATTGATAGTGAGTCCGTGTGTAATATTGAGGATGACTTTTATTAGAGGGGACACACCTCTTTCCACTGTGAGTAATGTGTATACTACCTTGACGTATAGAGAACAATATCGTTATGCTTTTATGCCACTTTCTCATGCTAATTATTGGTTGGATTTGGATTAGACAATTGAAGTAGATTACTCAAAACTTTCTATGCATCATATCAGAGGCGTTCAGATCGCTTTCGTAATAAGATGGACATTCGTTATCCTGAAGAACCTCATAGATGTGAACATTGTCACCAACCTGGTCATAATAGGATAAATGTCCAAATTCTCAACCAAGGTTCAATGAGATGTGAACTATGTTTATTTTATAATTGATACTGTAACTTAGCGTTTAATTCATATCGTAATTTAGCGTTTAATTTTATTGTAATTTTGTATGTGGTTTCGTTATGCCATATTGTAATTTTGTATGTGATCCGTATTCTAATTTACTGTTTAATCCGTACTTGTAATTACGTAACATTGTGATATACTAAATATCGGTATACATTTGAAGGTATTTGTGAAATTTACTTAATGATAATATGCTTAAAATATTAAAGTTTAATTATATATTTCCTATAAATTATTTATACATAATAAACAATAAAGGTTAAGAATAAAAATTTCAAAACTAAAAGATATAAATAAAAAGATAGATGACAGTTAAAAGGGCTATAAGTGTAACCATATAAGAGGTATAATGTAATTACAAAAAATTAGACAATAGAAATGATAGGTTCTCCTCTTAGCACCCCTGTTTCTATTTCTACCTATTTCTAGTTCTACTAAGCTTTTTTCAAACACCCTTATATTTGCACAAAACTCTTGAGTATGCGGAAGAAGTGTTAACCAATAAAGAAGTCTATTATAGAGTTTCACAAAGTTCCACCGTGTGGCTTAGATTCATTATTCATAGATAGGGTTGTAAATGAATAGAACAAACAGGAATAAGGGCATGTTCGTTCATTTGATTTAACCTAACAATCGAACGAACATAAACGTATAAACGTACAACTTTTATTGTTTATAATCATTCGTTTAACAAATTAATTTGTTCTTACTTCTTATATGTTGATTGTATTTTGCAGTGTCACTTTAATTTATCAAATCTAGAAGTTTTTATAACTTAAACAGCTTTTAGAAGCTCCACTTTCACTCTCACTAGTTTTATAATATTATATACATAAATATAATATAATAACCAAACATAAATGAAAAAACATCAATAAAAAAAAAAAAACCAATATCGTTGTCTGTATTCGTTTGTTTAACTAAACAAACAAAAACCTTTGTTCATTTTCATTCATTTACTAAATAAATGAACATAAATGAACTTTATGCCAAACGGGTTGTTGAACATTTGGTTCATTTACAACCATAATCATAGATATTTTGATACATACATAAACAAAATTGGCTATGCTATGACCTTTTAGGTACTTAATTCACCTTTTTATTGCAACCTTACCATGCAAGATTCATGGCTCATAGCTTAATCATGGGTTTGCATAAAACATCCTCCAAACGAATGGTTTTAAACAATGCAAAATAACAAACAGTTGAAATAAATTTCTCACAAGTTAACACAATTAAAGCAAAAAAAATGGCTCAAAGAAACTTGATGTGAATGTAACATAACTTATATTATATTATATATGGTTGTTAAGAATCAGCTTCCGAAACAAACATCGTATCTCCTATACCTCATCATAGTAGTGATACATTTATATTTACAAAACCAACCCACCAACAACAGAAACTTTCACTATTAACCCTGGCCTCTTTTTCTCTCTCAACTATTGCATAAAGAAGGATGTAGTTTTCAAAACCAGTCCTCCATATTTGATAATTGATATTTCCTCCCATTGAATTGAAAAAAGAATATAACTTTAGACCCAATAAGCATCAGTCTCAATGACAAAGAGTCTCTCCATTGTTGACCCAACTCAGAAAACTATCTGAAAATTCCTCACCAACTTCAAAATCATTGGTATCATTATCATCAGCATGCTTGCTCCCCTAAATTATATATAACATAATAACAATTTAAATTAGAATTTGATTTTTTTTTTATTTATAAAGAAAACTAAATCTATGTATGCTTGTGATTTCTGACTGACCTTCATGCTGGATTCACTGGTGGAAGGAGTTGTTTGTGCTACAATTTCATTTTCAGCTGCCACTGAAGAAGAGTTTTTGAAAATCGATCTGCAAAAAAGAATTATTTTATTTGTAAATTGTAATGATAAAAATATGGAATATGATTTGATAAAAAGCTCACCTGTCCATAAACTGTTGTTCACATGAAAGCCAATCTAGGTCAACAAAGTTTGAGCAGTCAAAGGAGTCACATTTCTCATGATCAAATGATCCATCTTTAAAGTCAGCAAAAGCCTCCCTGCGAAATGACAAATTAGCCCTTGCTTTTTATACACTAAAAAAGATGAATTGAACACACACACACACATACCTTGAGTATTTCAAGCCACTTCCACATGCTAATACATCAGGTGTAGATTCAGACATCATTTTGTTTTGATCAGAAGAAGCTAAACTCTTTCCAAGACTAGAGCTTGAAGTAGGCAACTTGCTCTCACGTATCATATTTCCATCTGATAATGATTTCTTATGCAATGACCTAATAATACACCAATAATAATAATATAACATCAATAAAAATATAATCTTTTTATCGCATATTCAGGTTTACCTTCTATCTTCATCCACCATTGATTGTCCATTCCCATATACAGTAGAATACTGCTCTGGATCCACTTCCCACACTTGAGGTTTCCCATCTTGTGGCTGAAAGTGCCCTAAAAATCTGATACAATGAAAAGGAATAATTAGACAAATGGAGGAAAACCCTAATCTTTAAATAAAGAAAGCGACTTAGTTTAATTACTTTTACTTACACATTTATAGCATTTTGTTTCTCTGCATCCATGTATGCATTGTTGTAGTACCTTTGAAGAGTTCTAAAAAACTCCTGTGATTGTGTTGCAGCTTTCCATTGTCCCCTTCTCTCAGAAAACACCTATTATTCAAACATTTTGTTACAATTTTCTAACATAAAATAAAATCATTAAAGTTGTTAAAACTTTCAAATTTGTAAACATACCTTGTTATGTGCAGCTGAACCACCATATTGATGAGCAAGAGTGTCACCCATTCTCTCATAGAATCCCATTAATTCTTCTGCTAAAGGATCATCAAGTTCAAGTTTTGAAGAAGTTATTGCTTCTAAAGCATGGAGTTGATGTCCTAAAGCAGCTAAACCATATGCATATTGTGCAACATTTGTTCGATCCAAACAATCTATGCAATTTGTCCTTAAAATCCCTTTTTGGAAAATTGGTGCTCTAACAAAGTTGTTATCTTTTTCCACACAAAGTTTTTCTTTTTCCTTCTTCACATCATTGCCAATTTCATTTCTGTTTCACCCATTATCAAAAAAAAGAAAAACTTGAGTATCTAAAAGTTGCTAAAAAATTGTTATATGGATAGGAATTTGAAAGTAATAACTTACTCAAAATATGGCCATCTTAAGCACCCATCGGGTTTATATTCTGGTACAACTTGACAGTAGAAGAAACCGGTCAAAGTCAACGCGTAAGAAGTCAATCTTCCTAAAATTAGCAATGCATTTGTCCCTTTGCTGGAAAAAAGAATAAATGAATAACTTAATATTACCATAATACAAATATACAAGAAATGAAAAGGGCAATTAATTAACCTTCTAGAATGTTTGTGAAGATCCCAATGAAGAAATTTGAGACGTTTTTCTTCTGATAGATCTTTATTAATAGAATTAATTGCATTAGCAAATTCAGTACGAAGGATTGACTCTCGAGGCCTTCTTTCATTCGTCTGTTGAAAAAAAAAAGAATATAATATCATACAGAAATAGAAAAAAAGATTATAATCATATGATATTGAAAATGTTACCTTTATTAGGTTTAATATAATGATGGGGTTTCCATATCTCCTTACAAGATTCTGAAAATGAAGTCTTGTAGCTTCATAGTTTTGATCCCTCCTTGACACTAAAAGATTAATGTCAGTCAATAGAATATCTATAAATATATTAACTAATAATTTAATAGAAATTGATTAAAATATTTAATCATACACATAATATCAGGCTTAATATTGAGGCGTGAAGTTTCTTGAGACCAAAAAAGTGGAATAGATCCACGATTTTGTACAACAGAACTGATTTTCATAGGAGATCCTTCTGGAACATCTTCAATCAAAATTTGCTCTGTTTCTACATCATTAGCAACTCTTCCTTCCTCATTTACCCCTCGTTTTAAGTACCTATATAAAGCAATTTACTAAAATGCCCTCAAGAATATAAAAATGACAAAAAAAAACTAACCGGGTCCCAGCATAATGGCGTGAACGTCTTGAAATGAGAGTCAATCTGAAGTCACGTCCAGATATTGAAAGTTTATCTTGTTTAAAAAAACCATAAACCAAAGCCACTGTCCACATAGTATTTTGGAGGGAATTTCGGGCCCCACGGGTTAAAAACTCATTCCAAACAAACATGGTCTCATAAAGAACATTTCCTGTTTCATCATTACAACTGTTCTTCTGAAGACTACGCATGATATTATACGAATAGCTGAAAAAGAAGTCCTTTGTAAGATCCACCATACACAGAAGCTTCTTGTATCTACAACAAGAAAAGAAAAAAACATTAAAACAAAGTACAATAAGTCAATAATGAATGCAATGTTACCAATGTATGAAGGAATTAAAAAAAAAAAAAAATTACCTATTTTCATGTCTCCAAGTAGTTAAATTTATCTGAGTTACAGAATCAGATAGAGCTATCATTTCAGTCTTGGAGATTGCATATACTATATGGCCACCAATTGAGCCAATTGGTCTTCTTTGTGTAATTAGCAACATGTAATATGGTCCAAGAAATTTAATGAAACCTAAAAAAAGATAAAGATCAATAAATGCACGATGTGAAATGTGTATATGTTTGAAAATATATATGTGTATATGTATATACATACCAACAATCCCATAGCAAGTGGTGATGAATTTGAGTCCACCTGTGGATTTATTACCCTCATGGATCCTTCTTAAGAGTTCAGAACATTCACATTCTGTATAAGTTGTTGAATCCTCACGGATGCTAAGCTCAGAAGTCTCTAACCTGTCAATTTTTAATACCCTCCAGTATCTGCGACTCTTGTCTCTTCCTACCATGTAATATTTCTACCCCAATGAGGGTAAAAGAGGAAAATTGGTGAGTTGAAGAACATACATGGGCGATTTAGGAATATAGAAATACATAAATCTGTTCTGTTTCCATATCTATCATGTAAACAAAGATATTTGTAATCCAGGAAAGAGGCACTATGTATGCAAACATGGGTGTGAAAATGAAGATACATATAGTATATCAGTATATCACAAATAAACTGAAAATGAAGAATATATTAGGAATTACCAAAGATATGTGACATGCCATCAACGAAGACTAAGGCATACATATTTGCTAATGGGCAACTAAAGGACTATTAAAGTGCCATGAGTATTGCAGGAAGTTCATAAAAGAATACAAGGTTGATTTCTTATTAGAACAGGAATGGACATCATTCATGTCAAACATGATCATGAGGAGGAGAACATAGGAATAAGTAAGCAAAAGGAATGGTTTGACTTCTGAAACAGTTCAAAGGGGAAACATTAGCAGATCATAGCAAAAAATGAAACACAAGTGGTAGAGAGATACCGATCGAGTCTCGTAAAGTCTGAATTTTTGCAGAAAGGCAAGTGGAGCAGCCACCGGGGAGGTGGATGGTTCATCAAGAGGAACATTAGACTCGCTTTCTGACGCGGGCATTAAAGAGACGCATGGTATTGGTTCCTCAAAAGGAGGGGAGATATGCTCATTATCTGTCGCCATTGTTATTACTATCAGATGCTTGTCCAATCCAGATCCGAGCCTCCTCCTCAGGGCTCGGTTCGAAAAATCAAATCAGAAGAACATTCAACCCTGCGGCTGTTTAATTGTATATAGACTCTGCCCAGTAACAAAACCCCGAACACATGGAGTTTGGTTGCTTCAGATATAGCATTCCTTTCCAACTTTATGATTTTTTTTTACTTCTCCAATTCTCTCTCTTCCATTCACGATTACGATCTAGCCTGCGAATATGTCGGGTACTCTTCCCGGTAGTCCTGTATAGCTTGTGATTTCGTTTTGTTATGTGTTTGTGGTGGTAAACAGATACCAATAAAGGGTTTTTAATCTAGGAACAAACAAAAAGATTGGCGGTGGATAAGAAGGTGGTTCGAATTCGAAATCAAGATAAAATTAATCACCATAGAGGGATAGAAAATAGTCTGAAAGATTGGTATATGATCAGGGTTGAAGAAATTGCGAAGATATGACCTTTCTTGAGTGTATTTCCGAGGATTAGGTTGAAGAAAGGGAGGAGAGACAGGGAGGAGGGGGGATGTCGGAGTGTTGAGAATCAGATCCACGGGGAGGGGAGGGAGGGACAGGGGAGGCTAAAGATCTATAATGGAAACCACAACCTGGGGTTGTGTGGCCGCACCGTCCTCTCACGATTCAACCCCAATTTTAAAATTATTGTACATATAAAAATGTCTTGATTTTTTATAAGACTATTATTTAATGAACATTATTATCTTTTACTAAATCAAAACAATTATTGTTATAGTTAGGACTTTGGAATTTGGAGTGAATATAAAGTAAACTTGACAAAATTATTTGGTTCGTTATTATGTTGAGATTATATGTTGGGTTCTTTTGGTTTTATTTGTTGTTTGGTTGGTTTTTTTTTCTGGTATAATGATATTTATGTCTTTTTTTTATTTATTTTAGATTTATCATTTACTTAATTTTAATATATTTAAATATAAATTTGTTTTGTTCATCAACAAACAACTCACGAACATAGATTCCAATACGTTCTCATCTGTGAAATTTATAAAAAAATACCAAAAAAAAATCTCAATTTTTACATATGAAGTGGCAAAAACCTTTAATTTTTTTTTTTTTTTTTTTTGGTAAAAACCATAAGTTTTTGGATAGCTCTTCGTTTTTAAAATGAAAGGGTTTTTTTTTTTTTGAAAACTTATGGTTTTTACCAAAACAAAATGTTATGGCTTTTGCCAACAAAGCGTATAAAACTTTGGATTTTTTTTTTTTGTATTTTATACAAAAAAGTCTCAAGTTTTACACATTTTGTTGGCAAAAACACTAACATTTTGTTTTGGTAAAAACTATAAGTTTTCAAAAAACTTTTAACTTTTTTTGAAAAAGTAGGGATTACTGATTGATGACCAAATAAAATGTTAAAAATGAAAGATTTTCAAAAAAAAAAATTATGGTTTTTACAAACAAACAAAAAAAAGGTAGGGTTTTTGCCAACTTTATGTGTAAAACTTGATTTTTTTTTGGTATTTGTCCGATTATTAGATAAATGTTTCTTCTACCTTATATAATGTTACATAAAATGGGTTCGAAAATAGGTTTGATAATTAAGAATCTGGATTTTCCTAAGTATCATAATAATAAAAAAAATAGTAAACCACATTAGTTGAGCGATATAAGTTAGTCTGTCTCACAACTCATGTGGGAGGTTAGTCACACGACGCTAGCAATATGTTGGACGTTTCAAGGTTTGAACCATGAACGTATTGTGTGGAATTATGCACCTCAACCACTAGGCTCTCGTTATACAGGCTCAAGTATCATGTATGTTTATTTTCATGTCGTCATCATCATCTTACAACTTTGTACGACTCCTAACACATGGCACAAATATCCATACAATATATTTTTATACGATAAGATGTCACACCCCCGAACCGGAACGGCGGAAACGTCTGGGGGCGAATGATTTCATCTTGTAATATCATAACAAGTGTATATAAATGAAACATAGGCATCGTCATCACCATACATAAAATATAACAACATACATAGTTTACATCATTGTGTTTGTTCATAAAAGTACATCCCAAAAATATCAAGTGTATGGTGAAAAACAAAATACAACAACATCCAAATTCCTTAGCTGCCAACCTGTTTAACGAGTTTCTGGGAATACAAGTCGTTTGAAAAGCGTCAACATATAATATGTTGGTGAGTTCATAAGCACTTTTTATATGAAAACCTTGTAATAGTTAAAACCCCAGAAAATCCAATATTTTCTGTAAAAATAGTTTATGAGTCTTGTTTTCAAATCATGTATAGTTGCGTGTGTGTTCTTGTTTATCCGTGTTGAGATCTTGTAAGAAAAATGTTTCCCCAGAAAAATCCTATATTTTCTGTTATACAAAAGTTGTGGTCTTAAAACCCTAAGACCTGTGATAGTTTCGTTTTTATCACTTCTTTTCATAGTTTATTTTTAGTTAAAACCATCTCATTTTAGTTAATCCTCATGCATATTTTCTCTTTTTGTTATTTTTCTCCTTTATCGGGTGCTTTCCAGTCTTTTGAGCTTAATTGCAGGATTTACCGAAGACTATTTGTCATTGGATATATGGAAGGAGTGTGGGAATTTTGGAGGCTTGTGGTTTGCTTGTGGACTTGAAGTGGTGCGATTGAACTTGGTGTCAGCATAAACAAGAAATCGAGTTAGACTTAATTTTTGGGTGAGAATGATGACGAGGCGACGAGTACTCGACCTATGGAAGATTAAAGGAGCATTGGAGCATATTTGAAGGCTTTGGAAGGCATAATTGGGCTCTCAAGAGTTTGTGCATATGGGCTGAAACATTAATGAGAAGATTGGGTTGGTGTGCCAATCAAATGGACCAAATGGACCACTCATCAGAATTCACGCGGTCCGCGTGTGCTCCAGAACTTGTCTGTGTGTCCTATAAATGGTCCGCGTGTACTCGCCAGTCGTCCGCGTGCAGCATGCAGTGAAGAAACCGGGTTTTGTGCTTTTGCCTCTATTGTTGGATGGTTGGTGGTTCACTTTTGGGAGAACTTTGGATCCGATTTTTTTTACTTTTCTCTGGAGTTTGGAGCTAGAAGAAAACCAAGAACATTGTGAATAACATCATCTTTTCACTCTTAAATCTTGCTACATGTTTGGTACTATCTATTTTTATTTTAGTTTCTTGAGTTTAGCCATGCTAGGCTAAACTTCTTTTGGTTGACTTGGATGTAATTTATTGAATGATTTGGTTATTTTGAAGAACTCCATGAACTTGTGTTGAATATCTATGATTATATTTTTTATGAAAAATTCATTCATGTTTATATATCTCTAGTCATGAATATTGATATGTGAATGTTATTTTTGTTGGTTAAATTCTTGGCTAAGTAATGGGTCTTCAATTTAACAAACAACAATTAGTTTAAATGTTTGTTTTCATTTCATTTAGACTAAGAAAATATTTTCTCCATAGTGGTAATGAAAGCAATAGATTACTCTTTGGATTTGGTGACTCTTAAAACCTAATGCTAATTGATTTTCACAAAATTGTATGCTTCATTAGTTTTGTGACTTTGATTTAGGAAATGTGCTATGAGCTTCTCTAGTCATTTTAATACAAAAGAAGAGTTGAGGCAAGTTATGCTTATAAATTGCTATAGCCAAGTTAGATTATAAACACAAGTATTGCACCTTGGTATTCTCATGATTATTTAACCAAATGTTCAAGCGATGAAAGTTCAAAGTCAACCATCTTTCTCTTACTGATTTTACATCAAACTTTTCTTTTGTTGAATTGTGTTTTTAAATCTTAGTGTAATTCTAGTTTTCTTTTAAACATCTCAAAAGATCAAAATCCCCCAATTTTATTTTATTTTAGTGTTACAAGTATTTGTGCAACAAGATTATCATAGAGTTATAAAATTGAATCAATCTCCGTGGATACGATCCCTTTACCACTATACACTATTTTAGTGTAAAAGATTTAGGGTTATTAATTTTGTTGGCCTCGACAACCACCAAATTTTTGGCGCCGTTGCCGAGGATTGGTTTATTTTTAATCAATTTGTTTCTCTATGCCTAGATCTCAGCGTATAGGTGACTTGATTTACAACCCAGAAATTGAAAGAGAAGCAAGGCGTTTGGCGAAGGAAAAGCGAGTTGAACGTGGTCAAACTTCCAACCCTCACGGGGACCCGGAAGTTGAAACCGCTTCATCAAGTGAAACGTAACCCGATTCTAGTCCCGACCCTCACCAAGAAATTCCCGAAACACCACCCCTACAACAAAATCCACCCATTATTCAACCAATTGCAATGGCGGAAGGAGGAGAAGTCCCCGAAAGAACTTTGAGGCAAATGATGGAAACTGATGTTACCTAAACTCCAACCGGTATCAATTACCCCGTATTGGAAGGAGGTTCGAAATTGAAGTCAAGTTTAGTCCATCACCTCCCAACTTTTCATGGATTGGAGAATGAAGACGTTCATAAGCATTTGAAGATGTTCCACATTATTTGCACTAGTATGAAGCCACAAGGGTCAACCGATGACGAAATCAAGCTAAGGGCATTCCCCTTTTCATTGGTCGATAGAGCAAAGGATTGGTTATTCTATCTTCCACCGGGGTTGATCAACTCATGGACCGATATGGCAAGAGCTTTTCTTGACAAGTTTTATCCCGCTTCAAGAGTCTCAATTCTCAGAAATGAGATTTGTGGAATCCGCCAAGGTCAAAATGAGACTTTTCATGATTATTGGGAGAGGTTCAACAACTTATGCTATAGTTGCCCACAATACCAAATTCCGGAACAACTCCTCATTCAACACTTCTATGAGGGATTGTTACTGATGGAGAGAAGACTAGTTGATACCTCAAGTGGTGGTGATGTCTTTAGTAAAACTCCACAACAAACAAGACAACTTTTCAACACCATAGCCGCGAATTCTCAACATTTTGGCCCGCGCCAAGATATGAAAAGAGACACACAACACAAAGTCAATGAAGTGGGATCATCAAATCTCGAGTCTCAAATCAAAGATTTAACCTCCGTTGTCCAAAAGTTAGCCATAGGACAAACTCCACAAGTGATGGTTTGTGGGATATGTGCAACAATGGGACATCCTACGGATATGTGTCCCATTCTTCAAGAAGATGCGGAACATGTAAATGCCACGGGAGAATTCCAAAATTACCACAACAAGCCGTCCGGTTACCAAAATGCATATAATTCAAGTTGGAAGCCAAATCCCAACATGAGCTACAACCCAAGGCCATTGCCTCAAAATGCATTAGTTAGACCTTCCTATCCACCACCACAACCTCACTACCAACACCCGCAACCACACTATCAATCCAAACCACACCCTCCACACCACCAACAACCTCCTCAATCCCAACCAAGTAGCTCCGGAATGTCTCTTGAAGACATTGTCAAATCCTTAGCCACTAGTACCCAACAATTCCAAAAAGAGACAAGAACTAGTATCTCCAACATTGAAGCACAAATGGGAGATATAGTTACATCCATAAGCAAGTTGGAGTCCCGTGGTAAACTCCCTTCTCAAACCGAAAAGAACCCAAATGTCAATGTGGTGACCTTGAGAA